TTCGATTGCGTACCGTGTGTTGACCATAGTGGCTCATCTTCTTCTCCCTTCCTCAAAATAGATCCAACCCTTGTCCACCTTAAATTTTATCACTAACCTTGTATGCATTGTGAGTTTGGCAGCGATCAGTGAAGTTCGCTTCACGGTATTTCGCTGTATGATGATAATGATGAGTGAGTGCAAAATAATTGGCGTTTGAAGACACCCTTGATCTTCGATAAGGGATTTTCCCATGATTACGCGGTATCTCTCTGAGCAGATAATAACCAAAGACCATCAGTTTCCGAGGTCTGCTGTCTGTGTAGCGTCGCTGGCCTATGATGGGAGTATCTCTTGAATAACCCCAAGGTTAAACAACGTGTTAGGGGTGGATGATCGTCAACTAGGCAAGATCACTACTATTATGATGTTACGTTATCCTTCTGGGTTGTATGCTGCCAGTCTTCGCCTACTCGATTTGGGTGTTGTTTCCAGGGTGGTGTGCAATAAGCAGTATCAGGTTATATACCCTCAGGTGGATTAATTCCACCTACCTCTGTATTTTTACTACTGACAAGAATAAGAGTAGCAATATTTCCCCCCCAAATGATGGCATCTAAGACACCATCTGCTGGTAGCCTTGAATAAACCATCAATAATGTTTTTTCAGTTATATATTTAAAATTGTTGTTTTCTATTATGTTATATTTGAGCTAATTTCCCGAGAGAGGATCACCCCGTTCTGAGTATACAATCTAATCCGATCCCGGTTTTGGTGAACGAACTACACTCACTGAGCGTCATTCCGGTGACGATCGATGCTTCACCTGATTGAACCTGCCATTTGGTGCGATCGGTGTAAGCATGCTTAAATCACGTGGTGCCATCACACATCGGTACCGTATCAAAATAGCCATGGTCTATTGAAAGACGAACAAAACAATAAGCTGCTGATGCTCGTAAACAAATTATTAAGTTCGATGAACAGGGGAAAATGTATCAAGTCCCCCCGAGCTATGAGAACCGATTTTCAATGCTTTGTCGAGAATGAAACTCGCTGCGGAGTAGATCACATTGGTAGCAACCAGTAATCAAATCTTCAGCAGCCCAGTAACAGTGTCAGCATTCTGCATCAGCTTCAAGGATAAGAACGTTCGGAAGTACACCAACTAATGTATCAATGGGATGATTTCACTAGCTTGGTCAACATCATAACATTTATTTACAAACAAGACTACTTATATTCAGTGTCCCCTACATTAACACTACATCATTGTCTTTTAATGAGTATCAAGTTTAGTTTAGAGATCAGCGATGCATGACGACAAATTGTATCACGTGTTAAAAAAGCAAAACTGGATTGCTTACCCGTAAACGCATAAATTGTCGGCTATGTTCATACAGCAACGAGCGTACATGTTCGACTTGAGCTTGTGCGGCTGCAACACCAGCAAGCAAATCACGCCGTCGTTGATCCAACTCAACTAGTTCATTTCGAACCGAAAGGTTGATTCGCATCAATTCATCCACTAGAAACGGCAAATTAGAAGCAGTCAGCCACACATGTCCACGAGCGGCCTGATCTCGGTCTAGAGGATTTGGTGCACAGAACTGAGTGCGGGCTGTGTAACTCATATGGGTCACATTCGGTGTGGGAACTAACAACAAATTGATTCCCAAAAATAACAGCGTGAATGTGACTGTCAAGAGGATGAAAGCCCGTTTGTAGTGTAGGAAAGTAGATAAGTAGTTCCGAATCATTTCCTTGTTAAGTGAAAATTTCTAACTGTGCTTGAACTGGTTGACAGAAAAACCAATATGCGTTAGCATGTGACTAGAACGGCGGCATCACCTGGAAGAGAAAGAAATAAAATTTTACACAGACACAAAAAAGGATACAAATGCAAGCACGCCAAAAAGAATACGTGTATACAGTCAGTGGATCGTCCGTCTAATTTTAGTTAGCTACATGCTACTAAGAATGATCCTTCGGCATTGCACTTTTTTCAACGACGCTGAGAGAGAGAGAGATAAAGGGGGGGACAAACCAGTTCATTGAAACACTGTTGACAGTTCACGTACCACATCTTATATAAAAAATAAATGGAGTACATGTAAACGGAAGAGACATGAAAAACTGTATCTTAAATTACAAGTCGAAAATAACCGATGACTTTGAATTTCTGCATATTTACTTGCTTACCTTTGAAGCAGATAATCTTGAATGAGAATGGGATTAACAGAGCAGTTAATAATTGTAAGTAGCAGATTGCAAAGAATGGCAATGAAATTCGAGACTAAAGCGAAGCGGTTTGCTCCAATATTTTGCAACACTAATAACAAGGAAATTGAAGTAACC